TTTAAACCCGGTAAAAAGAACATATATGAAATTACCTGATCACGAAAAAGTATATACCCTTTCCAAATATGAACATTTCCGCATATAAAATAAATAAAATATCCAAAAACTTTTACCTCTAAATCATCTATTATATTATAAACGTCACCAACGAATTTATACCGCAAGCATTACAAATACTTAGTGTCAAATATTTAAATTATTTCCATGCACATTTACTTCAACTAAAACGTATACCAAATTCCTACAAACATAAAATTCACAAAATAACTATCATTTAATTAAAATATCACTAAACCATGTACACGTCGACTTATTTTTACTTAAAAAAAAAAAAAAAATCCCAGAATTGCACAAAAATGGCATTGCGCACACTCTTCACCTTATCCATGTACACTCCTTTTTTCTCATACATTAGAAAAATTTCACGAAAATGCATGACAATTTTCTGAATCTTTAAACCCGTTAAAAAGAACATATATGAAATTACCTAATAACGAAAAAGTATATACCCTTTCCAAATATTAACATTTCCACATATAAAATAAATAAAATATCAAAAAACTTTTACCTCTAAATTATCTATTATATTATAAACGTTACCAATGAATTCATACCGCACACATTACAAATACTTAGTGTCAAATATTTAAATTATTGTTTGATCTTTACAATATGGTAACTGGTAGTTTGGAGACATTTTGGAGGCGATAAAGGTTACTACCTGGGAGTTTGGTAATAATGTGAGCAGTACTCAGTTCCGATTACGCATTATTTTGCGTGAGGGAAATGAGAGATCATGGGATATGTCATGTGATATTAATGGACGAATTACGGTTCTTTAATCGGAAAAGGGGGGAAATCGGGAAAAAATGTGGAAATTTGTATTTAGCTTTATTCTGTGTTGTGTGAAACAGTCTTGTTTAATTTTTGGATCCCATGGCCCTAACTAAAGTGAATTCGAAATGGGTATTTAGGCATTGTGATAAAGAGAAGTTTGCTTTTTATTTAGCGGAGGAAGTATGGAGGAAAAATTCGCAGAAAAAATCTTTGAATAATTTTATTGAATGAATTAGAAAAGTGTATCCGCCGCGTAATCAAGATTCTGAAGAAGTTTAGGTAAGTTAGTATTTTTAATTATTTGAGGATATTATTGAATGAATTAGAAAAGTGTATCCGCCACGTAATCAAGATTCTGAAGAAGATTAGGTAAGTTAGTATTTTTAATTATTTGAGGATATTATTTTTATGCATTGTTCTAAAGGTAAGGTGGAAAGGAATTTGGTATTATTGGGAAAATTGTTATTAGCAATGATTTAGTTTAAAGTAATTAGGATTGTAAGGTAATTTTTATTAATTTAATGTATGTGCTCATTTATATTTTAAGTAGTGTTTTTGAATTTAATTATATTTTAATGAAATGATAGTTATTTTGTGAATTTTATGTTTGTAGGAATTTGGTATACGTTTAAGTTGAATAAACGTGCATGGAAATAATTTAAATATTTGATACTAAGTATTTGTAATGCTTGCGGTATGAATTCGTTGGTGACGTCTATAATGTAATAGATGATTTAGAGGTAAAAGTTTTTGGATATTTTATTTATTTTATATGTGGAAATGTTCATATTTGTAAAGGGTAAATATTTTTCGCGATCAGGTAATTTCATATATGTTTCTTTTTACCGGGTTTAAAGATTGAGAAAATTGTCATGTATTTTCGTGAAATTTTTCTAATTTATGAGAAAAAAGCAGTGTACATGGATATAGTGAAGAGTGTGCGCAATGCCATTTTTGTGCAATTCTGGGATGTTTTTTTAAGTAAAAATAAGTCGACGTGTACATGGTTTAGTGATATTTTAATTAAATGATAGTTATTTTGTGAATTTTATGTTTGTAAGAATTTGGTATACGTTTAAGTTGAAATAAACGTGCATGGAAATAATTTAAATGTTTGACACTAAGTATTTGTAACCATTTGTAATATTTGCGGTATGAATTAGTTAGTGATGTTTGTAATATAATAGATAATGTAGAGGTAAAAGTTTTTGGATATTTTATTTATTTTATACGGGGAAATGTTCATATTTGGAAAGGGTATATACTTTTTCGCGATCAGGTAATTTCATATATGTTCTTTTTACCGGGTTTAAAGATTCAAAAAATTGTTATGCATTTTCGTGAAATTTTTCTAATTTATGAGAAAAAAGCAGTGTACATGGATATAGTGAAGAGTGTGCGCAATGCCATTTTTGTGCAATTCTGGGATGTTTTTTTAAGTAAAAATAAGTCGGCGTGTACATGGTTTATGTGTATGTGTTATTTTGAAAAACGCGTAAGGAGTATGGTATTGTGCACTTTTCCCAATTTTGCAGTGAATATTTGTCATGATTAAGCAGTTTTGTTTGATAAAATTTCTAGCAGAAGTGTAATTCGGCTAGTAGATTGTTGGAAGAAGTGTTCAGTAGATAAGAAGAAAAGAAACATGTCTTTACTTCGTGAAGACAAAATGGCGGCGGGGAAAAAAAAATAGAGGGTTGCTGTAGGAGAGTTGGTTGCCAAATTTTCGCCAAAAAATCACCAAGTTACCATAATGTAAAGATCAACCAAATTATTTCCATGCATGTTTACTTCAACTAAAACGTATACCAAATTCCTACAGACATAAAATTCACAAAATAACTATCATTTAATTAAAATATAATTAAATTCAAAAATACTACTTAAAATATAAATAAGCACATACATTAAATTAATAAAAATTAGCTTACAATCCTAATTACTTTAAACTAAATCATTGCTAATAACAATTTTCCCAATAATACCAAATTACTTTACTTCCACCTTACATTTAGAACAATGCATAAAAATAATATCCTCAAATAATTAAAAATACTAACTTATCTAATCTTCTTCAGAATCTTAATTATGTGTCCGATAAACTTTTCTTATTTCCTCCGCTAAATAAAAAGCAAGCGTATGTGTGCCTGTTTCAGGATGTTTAAAATCCTACTTATAGTTCACAGCAAGGTACGAGGTAAAATAAATAACTTAATAAAACATCTTTACTTCTATCTCGCACAACCTTAAAAAAACACTTATTACTACCCCTTTCAATCCCACTAAATACTCATTTCGAATTCACTTTAGTTAGTGCCATGGGATCCAAAAATTAGCGAACACTGTTTCACACAACACAGAATTCAGTAAGACCCCGCTAAATGCGGGGGATACGTTCCATCAAAGTAGAGCGTAATGCGAAACAGCGCTAAACGAGGCTATCTTTACATGTAAATATTGGGGTTAGGGGAAGATGGCTAGGAAATTGGTTAGGTATTAAATTTAAAAAGTATGTTTTTTTAATAAAAATAAAACCAAACATTTATTTCTTAAAGCCCAAATTAATACCACATTATTATTTCTTGCAAAAATAAAAACAAAATATAAATAACAAAACGAATATTCTTAAAAAAAAACAAAATTCTCAGTCATATTTAGTTAGCCTTCCACGTTTTCAGTGTTCTGCCTTTTTGTGACAAAAGCATCTAATGTTGTTTGCCTTTTTCTTTTGCGTTGTTCTCTTAAAAGTTCTTCATAAACGGATAGAGCATCTCTAACACCACGCCTTACTTTTGAGCTCCTATCGAAATTCGGATCATTTTCAATGAACTGATCCATTATTTCAGTTATGGTAGACAAACTGCTTTTTAGAAATGCCATCGAAAGTTCTTTTTGCTCTTCTTCTGAATCACTGCTGTCAACATTTTTAATATTTTGGGTTCTTGTTCCAGTTAATTCCTTGAGCTCATCATTAGAAAGACTAGCTGCTGCTTCTTGAATTATTTCTTCGATATCTTCCACATTTACCCCTTCAAAATATGTCTGTACAATACCGCACCAAACAAGAAATACAAGTACACTCTTTTGGATATGTATTTGAAACCTATCGCTGTATAATATTTTGGGGAATCCCCGTATGCTGCGAGCGATTTCGTGGAATCCCCGGGTTGAAATAAAAGAGCGCTAAACCGAAACAGCGCTAAACGAAACAGCGTTAAGCGGGGTCTTACTGTAAAACCAAATACAAAATTTCCAGATTTTTTCCCAATTTCCCCCCTTTTCCGATTAAAGAACCGTAATTCGTCCATTAATATCACATGACGTATCCCATGATCTCTCATTTCCCTCACACAAAATAATGCGTAATCGGAACTGAGTACTGCTCATATTATTACCAAAGTCCCAGGTAGTAACCTTTATCGCCTCCAAAATGTTGCCAAACTACCAGTTACCATATTCTAAAGATCAGCCTTTTAGGTTTATAATTTCTGCATGCCATCTTACCAGATTTAAAGTGATGATCTATAATCCGGATTAACGACTTTTGACTGTAACTATTTATTAATGTATACAGTCTGTAAATAAAAACAATAACTCAGGTTGCCATTAATTCTTTTCACTTCGTATTAATTTCATTTCAAATTCAAACTGTCCAACAAAAACTGGAGTCGGAGTCTACCTGTTTTTAGTGACTCCAGCTCCGATTCCTTTTACCCCAAAATCTGCTCGACTCTGATTCCGATGCCACAGCCCTGAAGCATACACATAACAACAGCCAACTATCTTGTACATATACGTATATACTTAAGTAGACATGAATTTACATGATGTTTTGTATATAAGCATTTTGCTGATCAGATTACCATATATATGTTGAATGACTTAGGGGTTCACTCATGTGGAGAAATAATAAAGCACAGAGGAATTGCATGACATAATTTTCTGATCTATCTCATCAAATTGATTTGTCAGCAGATATAAAAAGCAGAAGAAAAGACTCTTTCAAAAATTTTTGTATCCACAAGCTATAAAAATGTACCGTTGACCATAGAGATTTATTTTTTATAATTTTTTTTTATTTTTTATAAAATGCATCTTATTATTATTATTTACAAATAGAAACAGTAACTATAAGCCAGAGATTAAACAAATATTTTTACCAGGTTGGTGACCTTCTTAAGAGCAGTGCAGATAATCAGATTGGTTGCAAACAAATTTAGATTTTGCATGTCCTCTAGAAAAATATGCACCGATAAAACAACTGTTTGCTTAAAACATACACTGATAAAATAACAGCAGGCCTTTAATATAATGCACCATTTTCATAGAACTGCAAAAGTAGTAAGTAGTGCATTTTGATTCTTGCAATTGATAATGTTTTGTGTTTAGAAAATGAAGAAGTCCTGGTATTTATGATAAATATTGAATGTTACCTATAAAGGCTTTATTTGAAAATTACAGTAAGGCACAGCTGTTGTATAGTAGTCAAATGAAAAAGTATAACAATTTGAGTTTGTTACCATTATCACATGAATATTTGGATTTAAAATAAAAAAAATTAGAGATTGTTGTAGATACCTGGAGATTGCACTGGTATTTTCAGAAGATTCTACTATTAATTTCTTTTGAAGTTTTTTTTACAAACAGCCTGATTTTTTATAGTTTAATTATACAAATTTTCCATTTTCTCCTCAATCTTCTACTTAAATTAATTTGATATTAAAAAAAAAAAAAAAAAAAAAAGTAGACTTTGTTTTAGAAGAATCAGTTTGGCCATTATTAAACTTTTAAAAAAGCATAATGCAAGAATTTATGCACAGCTTTATAATCCATTCTTATAAAAAAATCCTTTTGTTGCTATTATAATACTAAAATACAAATGTAGTGAGTGAAATTGTACCATACGTAAATAGAGCATTGCCATATGATATGGTACATAAATGTATTTTTGCTATCCAGAACAAAAGCAGTTTTCAACATGCTCTTACAACCCTGATCTTTGTTTAGTAAGTGATTTCATCCCCTTCGCAATGTTAGCTGATTTAATAGCATCTTCATTTTTCACAATCATAAGTTTAATGTAAACACCATCATACTTGGCATATAGTATGAAATAGCTAAGTCCTGGATATGCATTGTCAACTAGTTCTTTTTTCACTCCTTGGTGATCCTTATAATTTTCTTCATTGCTTGACTTTTCTCATTAAAATTTACTGTTAATAAATTTATGAAATATTTAAGTGAGAAAACACAAAATCACTTCAAAATTCAAAGTTATAGCAAGGGTTCTTTACTAAAATAGTAGCAACAGGTGCATTGATATTCTCATTGCCTTGAAAGAAGTAAGCAAATGTAAGTACATGCAATCATAACTCGCCGAACTCGTCATATTCCGAACAAATATGAAATCAAACAAACATTTTCGTATGCAAACAGGGCATATTTCCAAGCAGACATATACTGAGGGTATTCTTCTGTTATCAGAACTGGATTCAGAAATGTATGTACGTATGCATGTGTTCATATATGCATGTATATATGTAAACACAGACACATATATGCACATACACATGTGCATACATGTATACATTTCTGAATCCGGTTCCGATAGCACAGGAGTACCAAGGTGAGAATAGACCGATATATTAAAACATTACATATAAACCATAAAATATTCAAATTATTACATGTTCAAGATTTGATAATATCAGTATCAAATTAAATTCTTCCATAAACTACATTAAAAAAATGCATACCAGCTACTTTTTTCTGTTGTTCTCGTTCATCATACAGCTGCTGAAAATGATTAGCAGCAAAGCTTATTATATCATTTGGATTATTTTTTATTACTGCATAACTTATACTGTGCAAGAGCTTTGGTAATTCTTCTGGTACAACTGGTCGAGGTCTTGTGACAGACATTGTCCTGTAATAGATAATGAATGGCATGGTGTAGAAATTATAGGATCTTTAAAACATTTCTATATTGTAACCAAAATCCTTTTGGGTACTATTTGGTTTTGAGGGCCGTAAAAAAATTCCAGCAAAAATGTATGCACGAAAGCGCCAAATCTAGCAAACACGCCCATTTAACAGCGTGCCAAATCTAGCGTACGCGCTGATTTCAGATTGCGTAAGTTTATATAGTTCTATATTTCTTAAAACGCCTATTGAAATACTAGTTTAATTTTTAATTATTCCTTTTTTGATAATCCTATGGATTTAACAATTTGGGAATTGCCCTATGATGAAAAGTCTGCGATAGAATTTATGGGTAAAGTGCAGAATCACCCACTGCTTGACGCGTTTTTAAGAATTGCAAATACTCGGTATCCATGTGCACATCGACTTATTTTCTCTTAAAAAAAAATCCCAGAATTGCACAAAAATGGCACTGCGCACATCCCTGACTTTATCTATGAACACATCAACCTATTGTCACTTAAAAAGTAAAAGAAAATGACAAAAATCCAATTGTTTTTTTCCCTTGTAAAAAGGGGCAAACAAATAAGTGGGCGATTCTGCACTTTACCGAGAATGTTTTCAAAGAAAAGGCATCATTCATTATAGAAAATTATGTTTGAACAACCAATGAGATGACATTATGCTTTAGCGATAACTCGGTAGCGAAATATTATATCAACTTAAACTTTCATCTAAATTAAAACATCAATATTAGATAGTTATTTACTATTATACTTCCTTTCTTGCGTTAGGGTTGCCGCAATTACTTTTAGCAGCATTGGCATCAACAAAAGTTTGGCGATTTTTTACGGCCCTCGAAACCGAATAGTACCATATTTTGTGACTAAAATAAAAAACATATGTAAAAGAACAAGAATTTTAGGTTGATCTTTACAATATGGTAACTGGTAGTTTGGCGACATTTTGGAGGCGAAAAAGGTTACTACCTGGCACTTTGGTAATAATGTGAGCAGTACTCAGTTCCGATTACGCATTATTTTGTGTGAGGGAAATGAGAGATCATGGGATATGTCATGTGATATTAATGGACGAATTACGGTTCTTTCTTTAATCGGAAAAGGGGGGAAATCGGGAAAAATCTGGAAATTTTGTATTTGGCTTTATTCTGTGTTGTGTGTGAAACAGTGTTCGTGAATTTTTGGATCCCATGGCCGTAACTAAAGTGAATTCGAAATGGGTATTTATGTATGTATTAATTTAATGTATGTGCTCATTTATATTTTAAGTAGTGTTTTAATTTAATTATATTTTAATTAAATGATAGTTATTTTGTGAATTTTATGTTTGTAGGAATTTGGTATACGTTTTAGTTGAAGTAAACGTGCATGGAAATAATTTAAATATCTGACAAGAAGTATTTGTAATGGTTGCGGTATGAATTCGTTGGTGACGTGTATAATGTAATAGATGATTTAGAGGTAAAAGTTTTTGGATATTTTATTTATTTTATATGTGGAAATGTTCATATTTGTAAAGGGTAAATACTTTTTCGCGATCAGGTAATTTCACATATGTTCTTTTAACCGGGTTTAAAGATTGAGAAAATTGTCATGTATTTTCGTGAAATTTTTCTAATTTATGAGAAAAAAGCAGTGTACATGGATATAGTGAAGAGTGTGCGCAATGCCATTTTTGTGCAATTCTGGGATGTTTTTTTTTAAGTAAAAATAAGTCGACGCGTACATGGTTTAGTGATATTTTAATTAAATGATAGTTATTTTTGTGAATTTTATGTTTGTAGGATTTGGTACACGTTTAAGTTTGAAGTAAACATGCATGGAAATAATTTAAATATTTGATACTAAGTATTTGTAATGGTTTGCGGTATGAATTCGTTGGTGACGTGTGTAATGTAATAGATGATTTAGAGGTAAAAGTTTTTGGATATTTTATTTATTTTATATGTGGAAATGTTCATATTTGTAAAGGGTAAATACTTTTTCGTGATCAGGTAATTTCATATATGTTCTTTTTACCGGGTTTAAAGATTGAGAAAATTGTCATGTATTTTCGTGAAATTTTTCTAATTTATGAGAAAAAAGCAGTGTACATGGATATAGTGAAGAGTGTGCGCAATGCCATTTTTGTGCAATTCTGGGATGTTTTTTTTAAGTAAAAATAAGTCGGCGTGTACATGGTTTATGTGTATGTGTTATTTTGAAAAACGCGTAAGGAGTATGGTATTGTGCACTTTTACCCAATTTTGCAGTGAATATTTGTCATGATTAAGCAGTTTTGTTAGATAAAATTTCTAGCATAAGTGTAATTCGGCTAGTAGATTGTTGGAAGAAGTGTTCAGTAGATAAAAAGGAAAGAAACATGTCTTTACTTCGTGAAGACAAAATGTCGGCGGGAAAAAAAATAGAGGGTTGCTGTAGGAGAGTTGGTCGTCAAATTTTCGCCAAAAAAACGCCAAGTTACCATAATGTAAAGATCAACCGAATTTTATTATAAATAAACAAAATGAAAATAAAATAATTAACATCTACATCATAACCAGGTTAGAAAAATAAAAAAAAATTCGTTTCAAAATTATGATTATACTCATTATATTTTGTAAGTTACAATACATTTATGACATAGTTATAGCTAATAAAAATTATGGTTAATAATTTTAAAGACATACATTTGCGAATTCTAAGTACAGAATATGTCGTAAAAATTCATAAACTGGGCTAAAGTTGCAAGGGAATAATACAAAAATATACCGATTTTCGCTTAGTCGGCATTCGTTCGCAAAATGCGGCTCCACCAAAGAACGTCTATGTACAATACATATTCTTTGGCTTCATGCCGTTCTTGCTATTGACGATCGGATATGGGTTGCTAGGCGACGTATTTATAATTTTAACGTTGCTAAGCAACTCCATCTCGGTGGAGGAGGTCACTCGACGTTTAAAACCCGTATACGCGACGCCCCTCAAATGGCCCCTGCCCTGTACGAAACGAACCTAAACAAGGGAGCAATAAAATTGGTTGAAAACACGGTCGAAAAACAACACCTGCTTTTACTCAGTTTATTTCGTATTCTGTAACAAATGTAGTTATTTCGTTAGTATATATAAATATTGTTTTGAAAATGGAAAACTAATTTAAAGGGTATTTCAACTAATTGTAATTTTTGAGGAACACATTTTTGAAGACATAAGTCTGATGGCCGGACATTTGCTTCGGAAGCAGATCAAAGAAAGTATCAACGTACTGCATTCAGTGGCGATAATTTTTAAAATATGGATGGCAATACCTACACCCACGTTGTTGTTTTCGTTTATAAACATTATGGAGAAAGTATCAAAAAATGGAAATTCTGAGTCTCTGAAGAATCGTTTCTCGAAGGATGCTATCACTTCGGTTAGTAAAAGAATTTGACATTTCGTTGAATTATACAGCTCAGTATCTAAGTTATTATCTTTATTGTCATTATTATTTTGCAAGTGTCAAAGTTATGAAAATTCACGTGGATAGGAATAACGGAAAATAGTAACCAAATTAAACATTATATTATATATATAAAAAAAAAAAAAATGTATTTGTATTTTAATAGCTCTCATAATATATAGATATCAATAGAATGATCAATAGAACTCTCATGATATATTTAGGGACAATGCCGATTATATTTTCAAATAATAAATAAATAATAGTAATAGAAATGTATATAAAAATATGATGATGCATCTGTACAATTAAGAATGATTTGGGTCTGGAAATGTAGAAAACCTTCTTTAGTATCAGTAAAACATTTTTCGTATTAGACTTTTGTAAATTTCTAATTGTATAGTTATAGCAGCAATTTGCCTTTTGCTTGTCACAGAAATGTTTTCATTCAAAATTTTATGATACTGGATATGAAATTGCCTTATTTCAGCATTTTTAATTTTCTATATCCTATTGAAAATTATAATTAATTTGCATTGTTATAAATTTTTACATGAATAACTAGCAATTTTATATTATTTTTCAAATCAATACTTAGAACTTATTTCATTTGTTAAAGAGATAAATTGTGTCTTAAAGTATTTGCATAATAAGTCATAGCTAGTTAAATCTCGAAAAAAATGTAAATGAAATGTAGGATTTTTTTAGTGCACGTGAGAACCAAAGAGAGAAAAATTCTCCAGTGAAGTTAGGTGTCAATAGAAGTAGAGTGGATAAGATTACTAATTGCTGATAGTGGGACCTGGGTTCATTTCCTAGCAAAGTAAATAGCTGCGAGGATTTAAAATTTTTGCTGTATTCAATATGAGTATGAACCAGTTTACTGTAATAAAGTATTCCACCTGAGGTAAATAGCCCTTTGTCATAATCAGGTCCCACAAACAGGTTGGCTGCATGGGCATTTTCATCATTTCCCTCCACACATATATGAACCAGTTTCCCTTAAAAAGTCTTACACAAAGGCTTAGAATATGAAGATATTTTAATAATTTCTGCTATTCTTGCTGTCTTCTGATATATCTCTATCTATAGTTATGTGTGTATGTATATCATGATTTTGTGGATAGGCACAGGAATGACGAAGCTTGGCCAGAGTCCGGGCATTGTTTGGCTGAGTGGAATACAGCAGAATGATGACCCAAAAGGATTTTGCTTTTAATTGCACATCTTTATTCAATTCAAATGGCAGATTATTTTTCTTTTAGATGAAATTCTCTAAATTACATATCAAATAGTGTTTTAAACTAAATAAGATGAAATCTAGGCTTTTGATGTCATAACTATTCTAACAAAGGGAAGAAAGATGGACAGAGCAGCGCGGAGTCTTGTAGCAGCGATAGTAGAAAGCAGTCTGACTAAAAAATGGGGAGTACTCAGTATTTCTACTAGCGGTTAAATAACATGCCAGAATGTTCTCAAAAGTACTGGTCTAGGGGTAAGATCCTGAAATTGTGGAAAGTTAATTAGTGGTTGCCTGTTCTTTTAGAGCAAAGCTAGCATATTTTTTATATTTCACACACACACACACACACACATATATATATAAAAGAAAGCTACTTTAGTAATAGTCCTTTTAATTCCTCGTTTTAATTTGGCTAATTCTCCTTTCTGCTGTCTTAACGCTACTAATCTAAAGTGCAGTACAGCACCTTAAAATTAATTTGCATTATGCCGTTACTAAGAGCAGCATCGAGGACATTTTTATCCTATCAAAGTGCAATGTTTAAGCAAAGGATACTCTATAAATACCCCTGTGCTAAAATACACACTCACTTTTTCCTGCCTTCCTCTTGCTGTGCTAATGTATGCTGCTAACTTCTCTTCATACATTGTCTTGAGATGTGATCAGCTAGACCAAATTGTGGAGGGTGCGTTTGATCTTTACATTATGGTAACTTGGCGAATTTTTGGCGAAAATTTGGCAACCAACTCTCCTACAGCAACCCTCTATTTTTTTCCCCCGCCGCCATTTTGTCTTCACGAAGTAAAGACATGTTTCTTTTTTCTTATCTACTTGAACACTTCTTCCAACAATCTACTAGCCGAATTACACTTATGCTAGAAATTTTATCAAACAAAACTGCTTAATCATGACAAATATTCACTGCAAAATTGGGAAAAAGTGCACAATACCATACACCTTACGCGTTTTTCAAAATAACACATACACGTAAACCATGTACACGCCGACTTATTTTTTACTTAAAAAAAATCCCAGAATTGCACAAAAAATGGCATTGCGCACACTCTTCACTATATCCATGTACACTGCTTTTTTCTCATCAATTAGAAAAATTTCACGAAAATACATGACAATTTTCTCAATCTTTAAACCCGGTAAAAAGAACATATATGAAATTACCTGATCGCGAAAAAGTATTTACCCTTTACAAATATGAACATTTCCACATATAAAATAAATAAAATATCCAAAAACTTTTACCTCTAAATCATCTATTACATTATACACGTCACCAACGAATTCATACCGCAAGTATTACAAATACTTAGTATCAAATATTTAAATTATTTCCATGCATGTTTATATCAACTTAAACGTATACCAAATTCCTACAAACATAAAATTCACAAAATAACTATCATTTCATTAAAATATAATTAAATTCAAAAACACTACTTAAAATGTAAATGAGCACATACATTAAATTAATAAAAATTACCTTACAATCCTAATTACTTTAAACTAAATCATTGCTCATAACAATTTTCCCAATAATACCAAATTCCTTTCCGCCTTACATTTAGAACAATGCATAAAAATAATATCCTCAAATAATTAAAAATACTAACTTACTTAATCTTCTTCAGAATCTTGATTACGTGGCGGATACACTTTTCTAATTCATTCAATAAAATTATTCAAAGATTTTTTCTGCGAATTTTTCCTCCATACTTCCTCCGCTAAATAAAAAGCAAACTTCTCTTTATCACAATGCCTAAATACCCATTTCGAATCACTTTAGTTAGGGCCATGGGATCCAAAAATTACACAACACTGTTTCACACAACACAGAATAAAGCTAAATACAAAATTTCCAGATTTTTTCCCGATTCCCCCCCTTTTCCGATTAAAGAACCGTAATTCGTCCATTAATATCACATGACATATCCCATGATCTCTCATTTCCCTCACGCAAAATAATGCGTAATCGGAACTGAGTACTGCTCACATTATTACCAAAGTCCCAGGTAGTAACCTTTATCGCCTCCAAAATGTCGCCAAACTACCAGTTACCATATTGTAAAGATCAACCGAGGGTGCTTATCGCACCCAAAATAATGTATGATTGATAATATATTTCAAGAATATTCAGAAATAAATTAATATTTGTTTTAACGTCATTCTTTCCCTACGATTTCTCCGCTCTATGACATCTTTAATCCAATTGATTTTCAGGATTAACAGAAAGATTTTCTGGTTATGAATAATGACCAAAGATAATATGCATTGCTTTTTCTCATCTGCTGTTGCTTGAATGAACCATGTCTTTGGCTTTGCCTTCTTCCCTCATTGTCTGAAATGCAGACTGCATATATTGAAATTGTAGGCTGTGTTTGGCATACCTATTGTTGTACCAGTTTTAAGCTAAGATATATTTCTGAATAATTGTTCTTGCAAAAAATTTAAATGATATTTTAACCACTAAGCCAGTTGTGATTTTCATACTAGTCGTTATCTTCGCAACAGTTTCCTCAGTATGATGAAAGAGTAAATTGGTTTTCATTATCCCTCAAATCTACAATATCACAGAGAATTAACATTCACTTTTCTGTTCATAAAGAAAATGTTATGCGATATAAATATAAAATAAGTGACGTGAATATAAAATAAGTGTGTGATATAAATATAAATTCATAAAAAATGTTATGTGTGTTATTTCTTTTTGTGAGCTGCTACAGTTGACTTTTATTCAAATTGCACAGTTTAATGTAACTTTTTAATTTACTTATTTTTTTCCTCTCCTAGGGAATGAATTGGAAAGAATGGAAGAAAAATAGTAAGTTCTGTATTTTGAAAATTATGGTTTTAGATATTCCAAGCTACTAGCAAATTATATACTGTATACTACTCAAATTATATTAAATGGAATGTGAAATATGTGAAAGTAATTAGTTTGACAGTTTTATTTTTCTAACTGTAAAAGAAATGTTACTTAACTGTTAAATCAACCACCATATGCATTCATCAAAATTGATAAACTTAATCACCCAGTTGATAAAAGTAAATGATAAATATTGCCAAACATTTATGGAGTGACCACATTAATGAGAAAGTACCAAATTAATTTTCTGTTATCTCACTACACTTCAATTTCTAATTCAACTAATTCAATATTTAAATGTTAATCTGTCCCAGCAGAAAATGTGTGGTATTGGTCAGAAAATATGCTAGTCGTATGCTGGAATCAAGTAAATTCTAATGAGAGTGATTACAAAAAGAAGACCGCTGGGATGAAAAAATTAGTGTCTAGTGCAAAAAAAAGGGGGGGGAATGTTCTAGAAATACATTTTTGTGTACAATCAAAAGTCGTTAATTCGGACACCCATAATCCGGAATGATCTATAATTCGGACCTCAAAGCTACAAACTTTCTGCGCATGCGCGGCGTTTACGCGCCGCGGTGCGCAATGAATTGGAAGTTGATCTGTCAGCAGTATCCTTATCTTCAGGGCAGATGTTTTTATTTCATTTGGCTTATAATTCCTTACTAAATGTAGTATTTCATCTCGATGTACTCCGTCTTTAATATGATTTAAATCAAATTCCTCGTTATTATAATTCGCTTCCGATAGTGAAGAAAGTGACACAGAGGTTATTGAAAACGAAAAAATTTCGATTTACAAATTAGTCGGTATTCTCGACACAGCAATTATAGGACTTGAACAGCGGAACTTTGTAACTGAACAAGAAATTATGTCTGTTTATAGAATTAAAGAGAAAGTCTTATCACATAAAACAAAGCAACTTAAACAACTTACATTGAAAGAAATGTTTAATAAAGTAAACAAATAAATATTATGCTTTTTTTTTTTTTTTTTTTTTTTTTTGTAAATTTTGATACTCTGTAGATCATAATTGTTCTTTATTTCATAAATTACAGTTTCATATTTTTAATTTTATAATTTCTGTATGCCATCTATCTAGATTTAAACTGATGATCTATAATCCGGAAAAATCGATAATCCGAAATCACCGAAGTCCCGACGAGTCCGGATTACAGACTTTTGACTGTATATTCCAATATCTGTACTTGTTACAACTGTGAACGATTACATAAATATCTGTCGAAACATGCTGCATGAGAAATTCTGTCAAAAAGCACGAGAGCCTATAAAAATGCCGCAGATTTTACCTGCATTGCATCTAGGAGTTACTGAGGAATTGCAGCAGAATGAAAGAGATCTTGATAAAGCTACCCCCCCCCACACACACACACAAAAAAAAAAGCCAAAAGCACTTTTGATGTCTTTTATGGTGGAGCATTATCTTCCATTTTCTTTAGCTCCTTACATTATGCAGCTTACAGCATGAATTCATTACTTTTTTTTTAACAATTTACCTTCTTGTTTTGGAGGGAGGGGGGTTGGTAAGTATTAGTACCAATACGTGTTAATATGCATAATCCAGATACTTCAGGTTCTAATCTAATGCTTTAATGTTAAGGTCCTGTCTACATCAGACTGTCTTGCTGACAGATCCAAATATTTTAGGTTCTAATCTAATATTTAAAAGTTAAGCCCCTGCCTACATCAAACTATTATGCTAATCACATTAACTTTCAGTTGCTAGCAAAGGAAAAGACAAATGTAGCAGTTCTCAGAACTTAAACTTCTCCCTCCCAAACAAGCAAGCTAAACTTCGCAATTATCTATATATATATATATATAAACTGTATATATATTAAAAAAAAAAGAAGTTTTGTGAAATGATGTAGTGAATTTTTCAGTATTTTTGAAATGGGGTTGCAATCACCCCTGATTGACATAAGCTTGATTTTTTTCTGCATGTTTTAAAATTCAAGTGTTCTTTAAATATTACATTAGTTTCATTTTTTTTTTTTTTTTTTTTTTTTTTTTTTTTTTTTTTTAATTTAGAAAAAGAAGAACATAAGAAGTGGAAACAAGAGAAGCTTCTGAAGAAACAAAAGAAACTTGAAGAAAGCAAGAAAATTTCTGAAGAAAATGCAGCTTCACTGAGCGATTCCCAAATTCACCAGCATTATACCATTAGCATTGCTGTTCCTGGATCAATTCTTGATAATGCTCAGTCGCCAGAGCTGAAGACATATTTAGCTGGTCAAGTATGCCTTTAATTTCTGTACCTTTAATTACAAGAATACACTATTCTTGGACATTTTGAGAGCCATAAACTAATTCATTTAATAAAACAATATTAGCCCACTGCAAGAAATCTATTCACTGAAATGCATTTAAATTTTTTTTTTTTTTTTTTTTTTTTCTGTTGGTAGGGTTTTTATATAAGGATCTACTTTCTGTTAGTGTTAAATTTATTGAATATGCAATTATATGCCATAATTATTCATTTTTAGATATTAGTGAGTTATTAGATTAAAATACATATGTATGTATGCCTATGGATATATTGGTAACTAATCATAAATGAAGATTATCAAAGCATTTTGAAACATATAATAATATTAATTTAAACATAATATTATTCTTTGATTAGCGATTATTTTGAGAATAAATCAACTGAAAATATAAAAGCTATCTGGAGTTGTAGAGAAAACAGTGGGAAAAATTAAGAGCTAAAATTATCCTATTGTTAAGGCATTGTTTAGTGGAGCAACCTAAGCACCCATTTACAAAATCGGTAGCTAAACTTATTACATTAAATAGTATAAAATTAGGTCTTCGTTCATCAAAATAATATCTGTTTCCAAATACATTGCATATCAAAATTTACTTTGCAATAAACTTCTTCTTATTGAAATTAAGCTAAATGAATACCAGATTAAAAATAAATTTGCAGTGACAAATTTCAAACTGGTATGCATTTTTATCCAGTATTGGTATTCAAGCAGTTCACATCAGTGTGATAGAATTACTTCTTAAAATACTTTTAATTCATTGAAGCAGCATCTAAAATTGAACTGTGATGTTTATTTAGGTACTTTATTGCTAATTATTGAATTGGAAGATGTAAAAAGGAACTATGTGATAAAAGTCAAATTTTCTAAGAAGGGGGGAAAAAAAAAAAAAACTACCCTATTTCTTGCAAGAATGTCAGAAGTTAACAACAAAAATTTATGAAATTGCTATAACTAGATCTATGTAATTCGGCATTTTTCAGATGCTTTGACATTCTTCTGAAGAATGGGCTAGTTTTTTTTTGTTGTTCCTGTGAAATCTCTCTTTTATTATATGACCTTTTTTTTATATCTTATGAATCAATTAGATACTTCCTTCCCAAAAGTTACTATTTGGGCTGCAGCATATAATACTTTGGGAATGTATATAGTAATAGTTTGTGGAATGCTGAAATTACAGAAATTTGGGAAATCTTTTATCAGGACTGGATTCAGATATGTGTGTATTGATGCACATGTAAATGTATACATGTGCATATATGTGTGTGTGTGTATATTCACATACATATGTATTTACATATATACATGCATATACTATGAACACATCCATCCATACATTCTTCCATATCGGAATCTGGTCTATCATGAAAGGAAAAATATATATATATATATGATTAAAGGTTCAAAAACTCCATCTATTAAGAAAACTCAAATATGCAATAATAAAATTGTGTTGCAAATTATAGTTATAATATTAAAATGACTTCAAAAGATTTTTGCAAATGTTATATGTTCACTTCATTCGGACCCTCACCGGTGTATGTCGACAATCACAGATATGCTCTGGTGTAGGTCGAAAAGAGAGGAGTATATGTACATGCTGCCATTCCAAAAGGAAATGTTCCACAAATAAATGTAGTTGTAAAAGCAAGGGCTTCTTGTGCAATTCAAAGTGTCATAATAGTTTAAGTTGTTGCAATAAATAAGATTTGAATCACATAATTTGGTAAGTTTATAACTTCTATTATTTTCCTTTCTCATTTTGAATGTACTGTGTGTTTTAAGTTCTTATTCTGAGTCTCAAGTGCGTTTTTTTGTGAATGAATTACGGAGAAGGAAATATAATATTCTTATATGTTCAACATTCTCCATTAGTACATGGTGAATGTCGACATTCACCGGTGTAAGTCAGAAATAAGAGTACTTGGAAAATATTTCGGACATACACCAAGCGACTATGTGAATGTTGACATTCACCGGTGAAAGTCGACATTCTCCAGATTTTGGTGTTTCACCGTAACATATGTATACACACACTCACACATATATGCAGGTTGAATTGGTTGAGCAAAACTTTCGGGAGGGCTAGAAGGCAGCTATATGAGCAATATTCATCATAAAATGTATGGTTGGAATGCAAGGAGTGAGAAGTTAAAGGGTAATAGAATTAATACAAGAATGAGAAGAGATACTTCAGAAAATATTTTATTAACAGAACATGCTCATATATATTGCTCAAAAGATCTTCTACCCGGTGTAATGCAGGCTTCACACTGTGAGGGAGAGATTGATGCATATTTGTGAAGACACCAGGCAATTGGCAATTCTCGAATATTGCCGGCAACAATGGTGATCCTGGCGACTAGATCCATATTGGTTTCAATGGGGGACTCAAAGATTAGGCTTTCCATATGATCCCAAAGGAAAACATCTATTAATCTTAGTAGCCAAGCTATGGGACCACCTCGACCAATCCATTGCCCTTAAAATTTCATGGTTCGTGTAACCAGCAATCTTCTCGACAATCCATGGTAGAAAGTGCCACTGGGTGCAAGGACCAACCGTTTTTATACCTTTTATTTATATTGCCAACTAGTGACTTACTCTTTGCGTTCTGACTGTACATTCTATGACAAATATTGCTCATGTAGCTGCCTTCTGTCGCTCCCTAAAGTATTGCCCACTTGTTCAGATACATATAAGGAAGGAACACAAACTAAACATTAATATATGTTTGAAAATATTTTTAATAGTTTAAAGCATTTCATTATAATTTTAAAATATTATCTAAACACATGTAAGAAAATTTTACCAATATATTTTGCCAAAGAGGAATATTACATACTTTCTGGTAATCTTGAGAAGAATCAGCGGGCAATGCACTATGGGCTTTTATTTATCTTTGATGTTACGTTAGTGTAGAAATCTTGCTGCTCAAAAGTAGTTTATCATCTGTTCTTAGGTGATTGTGATAAAAGTTTTTTCTGAGTGTATGCCTGTAATTCTATGATTAGCTTTTTCCAAATTTGTGCAAATTTCTAATTTTTTTAAAGTGAAAACAGGTTGATATATACGTGGGAGAACAGCTGGGGAGGGGGGAAAGTTAAGTGCTTTATTATGGATATTTCTTGTGACTTTAATTTAATTAGTTCCCGTTTTATGTAATTTGGATTGTTTCTTCATAGATGTGTCTTTTAAGCAACTTTCAGTGTTTTATTATGGTTATTTCTTGCATTTTTGATTTCATTAATTTGTTGCTGTTTTATGTTATTTTCCGTGAAGCCATACGTTTTTTAAATTGCTGAGGTTGGCGATAAATTAGTCGCCAATGATTAGCAACTTTGTGGGAGGGTTGGGGGGATAATCAGATAGTGATGAATATTATCCTTTAATTTAGTCACTTGTTTTCAATAAATGCCTGCCAGAAGAAGAGTGTAATTTTATCCATAACTAGTTTACTTTAATATTTTACATTATATTTATGCCTTTTACAGCATGCACTTTTTAAATTTTAATTCAGTTTGCATTTGTATTATACAAAATGCCTAAGCAGATGCTTTCAATAAATAATTAATATTTCTCACCAGGACAAGAATATGATATATTCTGTAGTATAAAAATTATTCAATATTAACAAGCACTTATGTTTCAAAACTATCAATTTAGGAACTGTAAACTGAGTCAAGGAGTACAATTAATACACACACTGGTCAATGAATTAGAATCCCCCAAAATCAATATTTTATTGGACCATGTTTTACACGCATAACTGCTCTGATTCGTTTCTGGAGTGCATTTATGTCCAGAGAATACCATGCATTTGTTATGCAGCTCTTTAGATCTTGTAAATTAAACGGAGAATCCTATCAAATGCATCTTTCCACTATATGCCATATATTTTCTATGGGGTTAAGATCTGAGCTATGCGGTGGCCATGGAAGGTGTTGGAAGTCAGACTGATGTTCAGCAAACAAATTTTGGACACTTCTGGCATGATGTATAGTTGCATTATTGTCCATAAAGTATCTGTCGCCATCAGGATAAAAATGCAACATTGCAGGGTGTGCTTGATCTGCCAATATATCTAGGCATCTCATGGCTGTTTGTTTACCCTCGAAGAACACCAGGGCACCACTTCCATGCCAGCAGAACATGCATCATATCATGATACTCCCACCAAACTCTTGCACAGTGCTAGTAAGGCAAGATAGATTCATATCTTCATTAGGTTCTCGTCAAATTCGACATCTTCCATCAGTGTAAAATAAGGTGTAGTGGAATTCATCTGACGATATTACCTGTTTCCAGATCTCACATGCCTAGTATCATTTTTCCTAACACCACTGCAAATGGATTCCTGCATGTCGGGCAGAAATGAGTGGTTTTTCTCACAGGCACCTGAATATGCATTTCTATAACTCTTCAATTCTCTGTGCATGGTTCAAGCTGAAATCTGTTGGGAAGAGCCTTGGTTGACGATCTGTGTCAGTTGAAGCACAGTAGAGTCCCGGTTCTGCTGTACAATTCTTTGGAGATGCCGCCAATCACTCTCTTGGAAAACTGTGCTGAAACTGCAGTTACTTCATCTAGAGGTGGACTGTGGGTTCTGATTCCAACTTTTGAAAACCTTTGATATGGCTGCCTTTGAGTACCCAGTGAGATTTGTTGTCTTTGAAATCGAGGTTCCTGCTAAATGGTCACCAACAATAAACCTTTTTTTAAATTGTGAAAGATCTGTCATTTTTTCCAATTTACTTTATTCATTGTGAAAAGCACTCGTACACCTAACTTAAACTGGCATTCCAACCATGTGTAACTCTTGCCATTAAAAAAAAAAAAAAAAAAAAAAAAAAAAAAAAAAAATGTATATTTCATCCCTAGCATGCATTCAAATGAAAATCTCAAACACTTCTAATTCATTGGCCAATGTGTGTAGATAATAATTAATTATGAATGGGAAATTACAGATATATGGTATTTTATTTTAGATTTTTTGCTTATGGCACTAATGATATTTTCAACTACCTTTTGAGTGTTTTCTTTGCATATAATGCTTGAGAAGCTGCCTGAGAAGCTTTTTTTTATATTTAGCCCAGTAATGCTATTAATTTCGTTTTGCCATTTTGCTTTGGTTCACTATAAAAGTCTGAGTCGCTTTTTAAGTTTTTGCTACCAAATAATAGAGCCCTGCACTATATTTAAAGAAATTAAATAATAAAGAATCTGTTTTTTGCATTATGAAAAAAAACAATGGTACCTAGAGACATCAAGTTTTGAATAACATAGTCCAACACTCAAAACTTATTTATTGAAAAATATTGTCTCTGAAATTAATCATTAATCATTTTTCATTAATCTAGTCTCTGAACTTTCTGGGCAGATGGTGTGTGTGTGTATACAGTCAAAAGTCGTTACTGTGGACGCCCATAATCTGGAATGATCTATTATCCGGACCTCAAAGCTACAAACTTTCTCAAAGCATAATGCATTGATGCATGCACATATGCACTTATGCATGCATGTAATACCTTTATGCATGTGCATAATACGTTTATGCATACGTGCTTAATGTATAACGGATGGTATAAGCTAAGCTAAAATTATCTAATTATCTATTTCAGTAATGTTGCAGATTGCGTTGTTCCTTAATCTTCGAATTGGATCCGGCTTATTATTTTTTGCAGACTGTTAGAGCAATTTTATAAAAGTAAGCTTGAACTTTTGATTATGTCAAATAGAATTTCCGATGCTGGAGCTGCCAAAGGATCTACAAAGCGAACGCATGTTTCGATTTCCATCAAACAAAAAGTGGAATTGCTGCAAAGAATGGATAAAGGCATATCCTTTGTTTCTCTAACCATTCTGAAATCTGTTTATCAATTTCACAGTGCTCTGCGGGGGAGGGGAATGTCGCGGTGCGCAATGAACTGGAAGTTGATCTGTCAGCACTATCCTTATCTTCAGGGCAGATTTTTTTATTTTATTCGGCTTATAATTCCTTACTAAATGTAGTATTTCATCTCGATGTACTCTGATATGATTTAAATCAAATTCATTATAAATATGATGAATACACATTAAATAGTTTTCTGGTTGCAATTTTCTAATTTCGACTATGCGTAATGTATGCTTTACGAATGCGCGCGTTGAAAGAAATGTTTAATAAAGTAAACAAATAAATATTAAGCTTTTTTTTTTGTAAATTTTGATACTCTTTAGATCATAATTGTTCTTTATTTCATAAATTCATTCATAAATTTCATTAATAAATAAATTACGGTTGCATGCCATCTTACCAGTTTTAAACTGATGATCTATAATCCAGAATCGCTGAAGTCCCAATGAGTCCGGATTAAAGACTTTTGACTGTATATATATATATATATCTATCAAGACATAATAATTGAATCAAAAATGGAGGCTATCTAGCTTGCAGGATGACTTAATAATTTTAATTTTGAAATTTCTAAAATCTTTATATGTATAATGTGTGATGTGTATTAATTGTTATATGGAAATATGGAAATCTACTTTAGATAAAGTTTTTTTTTTTTTTTTTTTTTTCTTTTTGGTTGCTGTTGTAAAGATTATGCAAGATAGAAAATTTTTCTGCTAAACTTTCAGTATTGCATTCGTAGGGTTATTAGTTGGATTACTGTGGCAGTTCTGTGTATGGACATGTATAAATAGAAAACATTATTTGTTTTGAAATCTAAAATGCTTCATATTTGAGTAATTTAGGAAAAGTAATAAAATATGACCTTTAAAATATTGTTTTAAATGTTGTGAAAAATACAAAGATGAAAACTTTCAAAACAGCAAATCAGACAATTGCCACAGTTATGTTAGACAGGTTATTTCTCAAAAAGCTAGATTTTTCAATGTTGCTGATTTAAGGAATCCATCTAAATCTTTTGTTGCTTAATGATAAGTTTCTAAAAGTTTTTTTGGAGGGGCATTGGAAATAATAAATATACATGGGTATACATATACAAACACAGACTTGTAAAATTTTTATCAGGAGGGAATTCTGTGTTTTCTTTTAAAACTTTAGTATAGCTGTTCTGTTAATATGTGACAAATAAATACTGATTGTCAGACCACAAGCAAAATTGATATGTGATTTAAAACAGTTTTTTTTTTTTTTTTCATTTATTGTGAAACTGTGTTTGTGTGCACTGATATATACATAAAAATTTCATGTTAGCTATTTAAGTAGTCCAATTGTAAGTAATTGAATATAGTTTTCTGTTTTCCTTTTTAGATGATTTGAAATATTATTAATTTCTATTGATCCAATCTATTCTTAAATTAGCATATCATATTGTTATTTTTATTTTTACATAACTGAATATTTATGTTTTAATATTTTTCAGATTGCTCGAGCTGCTGCTATTTTCAATGTAAATGAAATCATTGTGTTTAGTGAGATTGCAGTTACAAAGTAAGATAAATATAATTTTACTTATTGTATATTTAGTTTAATATTCATGTTTGCTTGAATAAAATAATAATCAAATCCCTCCCCCCCCCAGTTTTGATGATGATGATCAAGCTTTAAAACTTCACAAGAAGAATCATGGTTGTATCCAAATGGTTCGAATTTTACAATTTTTAGAATGTCCCCAGTATTTACGGAAGTATTACTTTCCAATTCACAAAGATTTAGAGTATGCAGGTAATTTATGTTTCATATTCTAAAAGTCAACTATCTTAAAGGTTTTTATTATTGAAATTCTGTGTTGTAAAACTTTAGTTTGTTGTGTTTTTCTTTGGAATCAATTGTCTTAATATATTAAATCTCCTAGTATAGTGAAATAATATAAATTGAACTTTATTTCTTTCAAGTTATAGAAATGAAATCAAGACTTAAATTTCCTATGAATTAATAGATTTGAAGTTTTATTGAAAATAAAATTTCATTCTATAAGTATAAAACTGAAATTCAATAAATTATATTTCTCTTTGTACTTAACCTAATAGAATGTTATTATTTTCAACAATATTTTTACTATGAAATTAATCTTATGTTATAATATGAACTGTATAATTAACCAATTTTATTTGTGTGTAAACCTGCATTGTTATGATAAATATACTTTATTTATCCACTTTTAAGTTAAGAATGAAACAGTAGTTGTATTAATTTGAAATATGAATTGGATATTAAAATTTAAAATCAATAATTAAATGCAGCAAAGTAAGTGGATTATTATTCATAAACATTTTCTTTAACAGGGTTATTAAATCCTTTAGACATTCCACACCATCTTAGAGTGGATGATGAATTCCCATATCGAGAGGGAATAATCTTAAATAAACCAGTTAAAGAAGGAAAAGGATCTTATGCTTATATTGGTTTACAAAAGGTGTATAAAGTTTATTTATCTCTCTCTATAAGTGTTTTAGATTTTTTTTAGCTGAAGGTCTAAATTTGTTCTGTGTTCCAAGATACTTTTCCCCCAAGATTTTGTATTTTGAATTATTTATTTTTGGTTATTACGTTAATCTATAAATAATATATTTCAGTAAGTTTTGAAATATTTTAAAGTGCATTTAATATTATCCACATAAATATGATGATTAATCTATTAAAAATTGATGATTTATTAAAAAAAAATAAGAAATTTTGCATCTGTTTATCTGAAAAGTCATGATGCACTTTCTCTGTGTTCTTCAAAGGCCCTTTACTTATATAAAGAACAATAAGCAGTCAATATTATATTTCCTGTTTTGTTTGGTAACTGTTTGCTTTCTTTTAATGAGCTTCGCAATTCCTCATAAGAACCTAGCTGTATCGGCAAAAAGCTGAACAAGGTGCTGATTTATGGCATCATATAAATTGAACTTTATACCATGAAAGAAATTTTGAAGAGTGTGAAACTAATGAAAATCTAAGGGCAGGTGATCAGGCGAGTGTGATACATGTGGCAACACTTTTAATGATTTAATAATTTTTGTCATGTGATCAAACATGTGGTCTCATATTATCAAGGTGGAATGCACTTCCTGTATGCTTATAATGAACTCTGGAAGTTTTTGGAAGACCAATTCGTTGAAACTGTCCACTTCATGACATTTGAATTGATTTGCTGGCTCCTTGGTGTAGGAGCTTGGAAATAAGACATGCTATAACAATAAGCAATACAGAGTAGGTATAACATGAATAAATTTGCAGTATTATAGCTTTAAAGCTTATGTATAACCTTCTTCATCAATTTTGAAAGTTAAAACGATGAAGGGGGGGAAAAGAAGGTGTGGCTACTCATGACTCTGACCTTAGGAACAATGTTAATTTTTTTTTTTTTAATTGTAAACTATTTGTCAATTTATGTAATGATCTTTTGCCCTGTAAATTCAACTGCCAAGAAAAAGTGCATATTTCTTAATAAGTCCTCAACAACAATTCCTCCCCCCATTACTTTTTCCCCTTTATTTCTATTTACAAAGGGAAAAAAGATCATTTTAGTTATCTGCTTTTATAAAGAAAGGCATATTATTATTATTTTGATGTCAAATGCGTGGTAGCTTTTTCCCTTTGTCTTACAATCTGCATTGTATATTGTTTGTTATATTTCTTTAATAAGTGCGCTTGGCAATTTCCTTCTTTAAAAATTTGACAAAGTTTACCATGATGATTGCGCTAATAGTAAATGCCTATAAAATTTTGCAATACCAGAAATTTAGGAATACAAAAAATGCTATCCATTTAGAGCATTCATTTTGTAATCAAGTAAAAAGTTGATTTCACTTGATAATTAGGTACACTGCTCAAAAAAAAAATGGGACAGTGCTATATCTCCCGTTCTACTGGGCCGATTGACAAAATTCAAATTGCGTTTCTCATGTCTCGAAAGCGCGACTTAGGATATATATTAGATTTATATATAGCACTATTCTAACATAGGTATTTTGACACAAAATCGGACTTTTTCTGAAATAACATACTATTTTTTTTCCATATTTCGATTCTATGTCTCAAATTATGCCAGAATACCAAGTTTTGTAAAAATCATACAAGTAGTTTATAAAATATTAGCTCTCAAAATTTTAGCTTCTCAATGTTAATTGAATTTGGCAAATATTTATTAATATCTCTTTTTTTATTAAACTTTTTTGATTTTTTTCTCTCACATTTCGAAATTTAGGTTCATTCCAAATAAATTTATGCATTTTTTGTTTTTTTAAATTTCTATTTTTAAGTATTTTTATAAATTTTTCGAAAAAAATTTGAATTATAACCTATAAAATTTTTACCATCATCTTAAAGTAGGTGTTATTTTAAGCATATCTGCAAAAAATTAGACTTTTTTATTCAAATTTTCTAAGATATACACGAATTTACATATTTTGAGTTTTGAAATTTGGCATCTTTTTTTGAGCGATAATAACGCCAAATGTGGTGTATGGATTTTGTTACAGTGAATTGCCACAGCTATTTTTAACCTTAAATTTCAAGTAAGATTTTACGAAGAATTAATTATATACATTTTTTCCCTCAATGAAGCGTAATAAATATTTATTAATACTATATGAAAAGCTATTTTTTTAAAATTATAGATGATATTATTCAAATTTTTAACTATTGTTTTTTTAATTTCTCTCTATCTTCTTTTTTTAAAAAAAAAATAAGAGTAAATTTTTACCTTCGGCGTTTTATCGTCTGCTACTTTACTTCGTTTAAATCGAATTGTCTAAAACTGAGAATTTTCGTTTGATATTTATTTGAATTTTATGACATTAACTGCATAATTTATTTCTAAACAAACTGTTGCTTTTGAAGTGGCTGAAAGAGCAGCTGGTACTATCATCCATATTTTTAAAGCACAGTATATTTTTCTAGAAACATAAGATTTAGAATAATCATTTTTATAAAAGTCAAATTATGATATAAATATACAACCTTCTAGAGACTGAATGAATGGAAGTTCAATGGTTATGTAGAAATGATCTCCAGCTACTTAATCGCTGGATATGTCAGCAGATTTCGTGGACAAATAAGAATAATTATATAAACGACACCCAACATTCTGAATTCAATTAACAACGAGGATACAATGTTTATTAAATGAATTCAAGAAGTTTTAAAATATAAAAAATCAACTCTTTTTTTATCTTAAAATGTATTTTTGTGCGTAGCGTATTTTCATTATTCTAATTTAAAATTCTAATAATTCTTAAAATTCTAATTTAGAATGTAATTGTCAAGAACTGATTCCTAATCATCAATAATATAATAAGCAATTATTACGGTTATTAATAAATCCTTCTTATAAAGTAATTGCAAATATTTCAAAAAACTTTCTGTCTGAAAGCGTTGAAGCTTCAGATACTTAAAACTCATAAATAATAAATCACTCTTCACACGGTAGAAACAAAGTATGAATAAATAAAAATTGATTTAAAGATAACTGTAAAAAATGTTGTTGCTTTTATACAATAGATCTGATTTTATCAAATACTTTAATGCAAATATTTTTCTGTGCAAATATTTTTAATTTTATATTAATCAAGATTGCACACGATATTATTTATTTGCACTTCAATTCTTAACCTCAGTTCTAGTAGAAGTTACAAATCAGTTATATTTAATTAAGGATTGGATTGGATTGGATTGGATTATTTAATTATGGCAAAGCACACGAGGGCTATCTGCCTAAAGGGAGGGATGCCTTCATGGAGGACTTTCTAAGGGAAACTGGCTCGTATACACGTTACACATCGGGAAAACCACGAAAACACCCATGCAACCAGCCCGTTCGTGGGATTCGAACCTCGGACTGAACTACCAGTGATCAGCGTCTTTACGCTCGGCCGTTTGTGGGCCTTTATGAAATGGAAGGCGATAACTTTATTTAAAATAATTGTCAGAAATACCAAATGTTTCGAAAAGTTGGATACTTTTAATATACTTTCAGGAATGCTTAAAGAAAAGAGAAGAAAATAAATTTTTTCGTAAAATTTAGTATTTGTATTTTTTTTAATTTAAAAATTTTCAACGTTATGATGTTTGATTCCTGCGATTTCAAAAATAAAATATTTGACTAAAATATGAATAACATTTTAAGAAACCAAATGTAGGATAAAATTGTGTAAAGCAATGGGCACAATGATTAAAAACTGTTAAAGCAGTGTATGCAAGTCATCCTAAGTTAAATGTCAGTTATACATTCTCTTATTTATATATATCTTTTCTGAACGGAATATTGTTGTTAAAACTGTGCTTTACTTTACTTATAATTTCAAACTATCTTTTATATGTATGCCAGTTTTCAAACTCATCGTAAGTCTGGGTTACAAAGTATTCTTCCGAAGAAAAGAAACGCAGTTCAAATAAATAAAATCAAATTCTGGAAAATTGATATTAATAAAATATATTTAAAATGCTCAGTTCGAAGGAATAAGGAATAAATAGAAAATTTTAAAAAATTCTCTGAAGAGACAATGCAATACAAACAATTGAAATAAAAGTATAAAAATTTTAAAAATTACCTAAAATAATAACTATACGACAAAATATATATATAAAGAAAAGTATTTGAAAAAAAAAAAAAAAATGAACGCTGCACCTTTATTTACGCAGTTCGAATAGGTAAATAGAAATTTTAAAACAGTTATTCAGGGGAAAAAAAAAAAAAAAAAAAACGTGCAACTTAAACAATTAAAATGAAATTCGAAAAAGAAAATATTACTTAAAATAATAAGTTATAATTAAAAAATATATATAAAGAACATTATTTGGAAAAAAGGAACGATGGTGACTTTTTTTTCCTCTCACGGGAAAGGGAAACTAGATTGCCATATATTAAGAAGTTAGCCAAGGGAAGTATTCTTGGCGCAAACTGACAAAAAAGTGGCAACATAAAATTTGTGAATTTCTCCGTAAATTTTGCTCCAAATTTTACAAAAAATTTCATATTTAGGCGTAATTTTGAGTCGTAGTAGAATCGAAATATGTAAAAAAATTGGTATGTTATTTCAGACAAAGTCTGATTTGTGTCAAAATACCTATGTTAGAATAGTGCTATATATAAATCTAATATATATCCTAAGTCGCGCTTTCGAGACATGAAGAACGCAATTTGAATTTTGTCAATCGGCCAGTAGATCGGGAGAATATAGACTGTCCCATTTTTTTTTTTTTTTTTTTTTTTGAGCAGTGTACATAAAGTATAAAAAATTTAGAAAATGATGCTATGTTTTTATATTTTTGAAGATCTTTAACTAACTCTAATAGTAGTTTTCAGTTTGTAGATTTCAAGTCCTGACAAAATAGAAGAAAATATTGTCACTTGAGGGAAATATTTGTTGTAAGCTTTATGCACAAGTAATCCAGAGCAGCAAATCCATAGCTATGTCTTGAATAATT